CAATTGAACAAGATTTTAGCATAAATGCTCGCGTTTGGGCAAATATTTCTAATAAAAATAATGAGCAGAGCATTGAGTTTGAGGTTTGTTTATATGATTGTAGAATGGGGGATATGCTCAGTAATAGTTGGAAATCACTTCGTGGAAAAGCTATTGCCTATGTTTTTGATTCTGTTAAAATTAGTGTTTCTCCACATCCAAACAAAGTTGGTGTGATTATGGTAGAGGGTGCTTACGAACCATCAACGCCTAACCAAGAGGCTGAATGTTCAAAAGGTAAAGAGACAAACAAAAGCATTGATGGTCAAGTTGGATGTGAGATTGGAATAATGCCTAAGGTTGTAGCCCAAGGGAAGTTTAATTATAGTGCAAAGAATGCCCATAATAATAAATCAGTGACGAGTGAATGGAATTTAAAGCCCAATGGAAGCAACAAATCTGGAATTTGCTGGTCATATGAATATACTACAGATAAGGATGCCAGATATAGATTAGACTTTCCATTTAACAGTCAACATCATCGTGGCAAATGGGCAATTGGAGATATGGTTGGATTTCGTATCGTTATTAAGCAAGTATTGCGTTACGTAAGAATTAAGAGCAACTCTATTAATCCAACGTTTATAAATATAACACAATGCCCCAAAATGACTCATACACTCGAAATATATTTTAAAACTATTGAAGATTTTAATGAACGTTTTGCTGCACTCAAAAGGCGGCATTTTAAGCAAGGAGAACTTATTGTTACCCTAGAAGATATTAAGGATGCAAATGACGCTCAAAATGTTTCAGAACTTATAGATATAAACCGTGATTTTATGCGAATCGATTAAATTTAATATGAATGTTAAATTTTGGGTTCCGGAGTTTCTCAATTAGTAATTCTCTATTTTCTTTTATTAATAACATAAAATGCTTCCTCAGTCGGTATATATCTGATCATTTTCATTTATACTAGTGTTTGGACGCGTATATTATTATTGGTTTTGTTTTACTCGTGATTCGCCATATATTCCTTTTTGACTACTTTTATAAACTTCGTTAACGTTAACCTCAATCAGGGACCGGAAATTTTTTTGAATCCAAATCAATCCAAATTTTTCCAAATGTTTTAATGTTAGCCAAATTTTTCCAAATTTTTCCAAATTTTTGTAAGTTTTGCTAATTTTGATTAGTTAGAATTTTTATTACACAAATAAGGTATTTCGATCTT